GACTGGGAAACTGAAGGGGAACTGAACTGAAGGGCCAAAAATGTAATTATTTTTTTATTATTATTATTATTATTATTATTATTGTCTATAAATGTCTTACATTGTAATTAAATTAAAATAAAATAGGATTTTCAATCAATAATATTTTGCTCTCATACCACATAATCCTCTCCAGGGTCACAGTGAGAGCCAAAGAGATTTTCACACTTGTATTCACACCTACGGTCAAGTAAGAGTCCCACCGACATAACCCTGCAATTTTTTTGGACTGTGAAAGGAAGCCAAGATACTCCAAGAAAACACATGAATACACAGTAAAAACTAAGGATCCAAGAGAATTCTTTAGGTTAGCTAAAAAGTATAATTCTATAAGGTTTTTACCTACTCTGATAAAAGAAAATACGCAGAGAGAGAAGATCTAAAAAACAATGATATTTCTAATAATCAAAATATGATTATCTATCATAGTATTAATGAAGTATTGCTTACCTTATCTGTCTGGCTTCACTGTGGACATCACTGCTCCAGTTGTCCTGTGGTGATGCTGTATTATGCTGACTCAGGGACACTTCAGAGGGTAGTAAAACCGACCTTTGCCCAGGTGGAGTAGGGCAGATATTCATTCTCTCCTCTTCATCAAAACTTTCAAAGAAAAGGAGGAAATGGATGTTAGGACAAGAAAAACTTCCATCATTCTCCACCATCTCATTTATACGTAGTTAAACTCAGGGGAAACTTGTGTTTGTTGTAAATTTTACAACTATTAACTATAGACAAACGCTGTAAGTGTATTTTGTGAAACCTGTATAAAACCATGTAGCACTTATCTGTTAGATATTCAAAAAACGTGATGTGACAATTTGACTGGAGACATAATGGGCAACTTGGTGAATGATGAAAACTTTGATCAGAAACACGTGTTTGATGGAAAAAGTCTAAAAAACACAAACTAAAAATAAACAGCAGCTTCAGTTAAATCACAAGAGAGAATCAATCACTCTGTATCTTTAGTACCTATTTTGACCAATATATATGGACCCAAAATATTTTCAACATATACAGTAAACATATGTCATTGGTCAAGTGCACTCTAACCAATTTTGCTTGAGTTTTTTTTAAATAGGAGAGACTAGTTATTTTTAAGGATAATAAAATTAAATAGTCTACTGTAAATACGCTGATCGTCATTACCAAAGTGTTGAATCCAATATCAGTCCTTAAGGCTGTTCTAAAATGGAGCCAAAGGATGCTGTATTTCCAGGGTTATTTGCAGAAAGCTGCTCTACAACTGATACTATATAATCTCTGCGAGGCAGATATGATCTGAACCAGTTGAGTACTCAGCCTGACATTGCCCAACCCGATTTTACAACCTGTTTATCAGGATGTCCTACAACTATGTTGACGACAACGGACAATGTCAACAGTGTCATAGCTGCACTGATAT